TAAAGGCCCTTCCACCTTGACACTCCTCCCACGGAGTGTGTCCATCCCTGAGACGACGCCGGCTGGCAAGTGTTACACACTTACACACTTCTGATTTTGGGGCAGCAGTGAGGTGGTAGAGACTCGAGAGGACACCCTGCAGCAGTGCTGCTGCCAGGGTGGCTGCTTGCAGGCTGCAAACTCTGCCATGGTGCCAGCAAATTGTCAGCCTGCTGCCACCCCACTACTGCCAAAATGGTACATAGGAATGCTTATTTTCACGCTGCTTCTATGAATCTCTTAATAGACCCAAACTGAAATAGAGTACTGTCATGGTTTTAGCAAGGCCCAAAATCCAATTCTGATTCCTAGCCCCCCACCCACATCTCAACCCCATGTGAGATGGGTTTTCCAGACAAAAACACGAGACTCAATATGGGGGAAGGAATATATTACAAAGACTATACACATAAATAAATACTATAATACATTGCATACAATCTTAACTCTATATCTATCTCTACCATGACAATAATATTTACAATGGGCCCAATCTCTTCTCCCTCCAAATAAAAGTCCAGGAGAGAAGAAGAAGAAAAGACCCCTTCCAGTCTGTCAGCAGCAGGCTCTCTCTAGGCAGCAGGCTTTCTTCTTCTCTTTCAGGCAGCAGTTGCAGCTGGATCCTTGCCAATACACACGAGGGGGGTCTCCAAGCCCCTCTCGGCCCCTCGACGCCAAACGAAGGGTCTTTCCGTGGACTACGTAACCCCAGACAAGGTCGTTCCACCACGGTCATATCACGAAGCACGGGGGTCTTCGTGACAGTCTGGTATCTTCAGGGGAAATCAAGCCCCTTCACAGAGCTTCTGTGCTCTGCTTCAAAGATGGCTGCCAGCTTCTCTGAAGCTGCAGCAAAAGGGGGGGGGAAAGCCCAAGGTCACCCCCTCCACACACATTCCTTTGGCCATCCTGGCTGAGCTCTCAGGAGGCCGGAGCTTCTTAGCTCCTCTCTGTAGTGCATACTGCACTTTAGGACTCCACTCAGTCCACCACCCCCTCCTCTTTCTCAGAGGGGTCTCTAGCGAGTTTGGGGGTTTTGGTTTGTCCAGTTCTTACCCTCCGAAACTCTCTTCCTGCTGCTGGCTCGGGTCTCTTGTCCTGCTTTCTGCTGCTGGCTCTTTTAGTTTCCTCAGACAGCTCTCTGTCTGCTTCAGTTGCATACCGGCATCTGCTGCTTCTCTTGGTTCTTATCAGTTGGCTCTTTGCCACTGCTCTTCGGACACTGCTGTTCTGCTGCTGCTCCGTCGCTGCTCCCAGCGTCTCCCACTTCTGCTTACAGGGGAGAAAACTCCCCCAGCTCCTAGCCACAGGCACTCAGTCCAGCTAACACTGTTCCAAGTCCCTGCAGCCCCCCAACCGGGGGCTGGGGGGGAGGCAGAGGCCCCCAGGGGCCGGAGCCCCTTCTCCTCGTGGCCTCTACAACATGGCCACCTCTTCTTCCCCCAACAAGTACCACTGCTTCTCTTCCGGTCTCCAGAGATATGTTTATATTTTGCAGGAGCATTGATTGGGTCAAGCCCCAAGGGTCACCACCCCCTGGGGGTTACCACTTTCAGCTTCAGGGGGAAACCTGGTTCAAACCACTACAAGTACAAATCTCCAGTTCTGTATTAAATCCAGCGCAGGTAAGTTGCTAATGTTTGTGAAGTCCTTTTAGGCTGTGGTTTAAGTGGTGCCCCAACCAGGCCAAGTGCTTTGAAGCCTTCTTAACATCACACCAAATTTGCTTATTCGTTTTCAAGTTGTGTTCTATTTTAAAACACATTAGTGAATTTTGGTGAAATCCATGTGGTAACCCAACACCCTTTCTCAGTACATATTTAACAAGCTAAAGAAAGCTAGTTTAATGCTGAATTCATATATTTAATGTTTTAGAAAACAGCTGCATGTATTTTTTTAAATGTGCAGTTCCAGCCCCTTTCTACATAGACCTCTTTCATTGAACCATCTAATTCTGTTGCAAACATGAGATAGCTGTGTAATTTACTATAAATAAAGACTGCTGTGGAAACTTATTCACCTTGATAATGCCAGGTAACCACTTAGCCTGAGGAATTCAGCACCTTTTCAAAAACAAACAAAAAGCTCATGCCAAGATGGTGACAGTGACTTGCCAGTTAAACAGAAATGATGGAGAAGTCAAAGCTGATGGTTAATACTCCCCAGAAAATGAACTTTGCTGCAGTTGTTACCCCTAGGCTGGGAACAGTAAAATAAAAAGCTCTTCTGCAGAGATGCAGCTGTCCTGCTGATGCTTCCACAGATCCAGCATCATGCCCAAAAGCAGCAGAGCTGCAAAGCCCTGAATTCAGCAGCAGCTCCATGTGCCAAAGCTTGCAAGATTCAGTGATGTTCCTCCCACCAGAAAATGTTATTTTGTGATCTGTAATTCAGCTTCTGGAGATACAGCAGTATATCCAAGTGTTGCTAAAAATATGGTCCTTCATTTCCTTCTGGCAGGTTAGAATAGTAAAGAATATTAATAAGGTGTGGGGTTTTTTTCCCTTCCAGATACAATGTGCCACCCATGAATTGAAAGAGGAATAGGGTTTTTTTAACCTGATGTTTAGTTTAGGATAATGTTGAATTTCCATCAGGCCTTGGACAGCTTGGTGAAAGCTTTCCTAAAAATAGGAATTATCTGGGGATTCCTTGCATCAGAGGGCTAATGGGTCGTTGAAAACTTGACATAAGAAGTAAACTATAAATATGAAATTTTTGTCACAGCCCCAGTGATTTTTGGCAAAACTTCCTGTTGCTTAGGAGCTGGATAGTTTGCATCTATTTTACTCATGTCCTTTCAGAATTACTTGACAAAGCTGCTTATTTCTCCTTGTAAAGCAAAGGAGTCTTACTGACACAACTTCAATCTTTTATATCGGCTGAACATGTAGAGATCCCTCTTTCCACCCAACTGTCAGTCCATGACTGCTAAGAAGAAATAAATGTATTCTGCCAAAACTTTTCAGTGGATTCAACCTGGTGATGTTTGCAGGTAACTAGACACCAAATCACCTCAGGATGACCGTGCTAAAGACAGAAGTGCATTCTTCCAAGCACTGTTTCTCAAAGCTTTTGAAGGTACAGTTAATTTCTGATTGATCTCTGAAGACCTGGATAGTGGTTACAATTTCAGGTTTTTTTTTTTTTTTTATTTCTAACACTTCAGAACCTTCTTTGAATCCCATTCTGATCCATAGTTGGAAAAAATAACACTTACAAAATGATCTCTGGTGGGCAGCTTTCACCAGAGATCATTGTGATCAAGAAATAACTTACTGACAATAATTTGTTTTTGAATTTCTCAAACCTTTTCCTCCGAGCAATTTAAAGCACTTAGCATCACAATGACTGTAATATATAATTTTTAAGCTGTTATTCTTTAAACTGAATGAAAATGTAGAATTCAGTAGGTTGTGAGAGATTTAATTTTTGGTTTATTGAGATGGGACTGTTGTCTGCACGAAAGCTTTGTGTTGTAACCATTGAATTCCTGAGGGGCACAGTAATTTTCAACTGTATTCATTTGTAAAGCAGAAACAAATGTCAAGTCTAGTACAGCAAAAAGGGCATGGAGCCTTCATAATGGGGAAAAAATAATAAACCTTGCAGCTTGCTAATAACTTTGTTTGTGTGCTTAAACAAGGCAAAAAGGATGCTTTTGCATGCAGTGTCCCTGTAAGAAGTTAATGAACTTGGACTACACTGAGAGAGAACACTTTATACACTTCTTGTCAAGTTCTTAAAATGATGTAATAGTGACAGAGATGTGAAGTACTAAAACTAATAATACTAATAGAACGTTATACTGAACATCCCCCTGTGCAGCACAAGGCAGGTGACACATAATTCACTGATGAATATATATTGATAGTAGCAGACAAAAGAATGTATTTGAGTTCAGGTTGTTCTGAGATTTGTTTTCCCAAGATGAGGTTTCTGATGTCTGTCATCTGTTCATCTTGTCAGATAAAAATACTTGTATGATCCTGGATACTTTGCTTTTTTGAAAGGGCTACCTGGGTTCTGTAATAGAAGATACTAAACTTTGTTTTTGCTGTGCAAGTTTATGGCATTCTCTATTTCCTTAGTGAGACCTCTTAGAGAAAGAACATTAATACAGAAATAGATATTTAACTGTATGATCTGCATTGGAGCCTGCAAAGAAAGTTTAGGAAGGAGACAGAAACACATTGTTGAAGAAAAAGGAATTTCTCAGCCCTTTACTTCGTGAACGTCTCAACTTGCACTTCTTGGCCTGGATCTGTTCTGGTACAGAGCATTTAAATATACACTGATTTAAGAAATGCTAAGAAATTTAACCTTGGCAAAAATTTTAAGTCAGACCTCTGTTGGACATGTTTTTTGAGATATCTGAGCCAGCTTCTTGAAAGTGCCAGACCCAACAGAGCTAAGTGGGAGCAGTGTAAGAGACATGTGGATGCTCTTTTGATGGTCAGTGCCCCTATCTGGTCACCCAAAAAGTGAGACACAATATATGTTCAAAAGTGAGGACAAAAAACTTGCCTAACTCTATGCATAGTGACAGTATGAACCTACAATTTTTTTCCCCTGGATTTTTAAGGTCTGTATTGGAGTCATCTTATTCTCTAGCACATGATTGTTTGGTTTATTCAAAAGCAGAAAACTGATCGCACACTAAATAATTTGCAGAGTGAAAAAGCAAATTGAAAAAGCAAATTGATTTCAATGGCAAAATTCCCACGGACCTGTGTGGGCAGAAATGTGCCCCATGCAGTAATTCAGCTTTCAACTGAGTGTGTTACTGCTTCTCTATCCTGCTACCTTAGGTAACAATTTGTTCCAGCCTTAAATGACCATAGAGAAGCTTTGTACAGCAAATTTAAAGGTTGACTACAGCTTGCAACTCTAAGAATTTCCATTATTTCAGCTGTGGTATTCTATCCAGCACACAATGCTTACAGAATCAAACAACCTACCTAGCGTTGGATCGTACTCCCAGATGAACCGTTTGGTCAGGAAGCGTACGACAAGAGCTGGAGAGACAAAGATTTCAGGTGAGAAACACAAGACATCAACTCAACAGATTTTTTTTTTAATTTTTTTTTTTAAGCTTTCCCAGCAAACTTTTCCATGTAAAGGGACACGGAACAGCTTCCCTGAACTGTCAGCAGAATTCTGTGTCGCTTATTGTAGCAGCTGAGAACTTTTCACTGTTTGTGGCCCACTTCACACTTTAGGAGGAGGGGAACAAAATGAAAATAAAACCAAAACTCTTTACAGCATTCATCATTTACCCACCTAACAATGCAAGGCAAAGAATACCAGAAGGTTTTGATGGTACTCTCTAATTTTTTCCACCTTTTTTTTTTTTTTTTGGTCACAGTAGCTTCTACCATTAAAGAACCAAAACAACCCCATTTACAATGCTACGAGCGGATGACCTTCGGTAAAAACCGTTACTTTGGATGCTTTAGGTTTTCTATAAGCAGTAGAAAAAGAGCTGGCAGTTTTTGAACCAGGATGCTTCCATGCTTCAAAATGAGGGTTGTTCAAAATTTCATTCTTGAAAACTTCTTCTTCAGATTGTAAATCTTCTAAGGCAGAAATAATTGGTTGAATAGCTTCCTTCTCTATTTTGGCATGCCTTCCTTGTAACAATTTACTTCAATGTTTTGCCTACTTGTCACTTGAAGCAAACAGCTATAATATTTTAAACCAATGGTCAACAAATGCAATTAATCAATTTGCAGAAATAGAGAAAAGAATTTAGATTTTGGAGCACTGGACAGCTAGCTCCTAGTTTCAGTTTATAGCCTAAGGTTTTCCTACTTTTGCTCTTACATTTAATTTTTTTCTGTCCCTCCACCTCTTTTAAAAGCAACTTATATGAACTTTGATTATGTTCAAATTTAAAAGTAAGCAGTGCTTTGAATTTCTAGTGGAATTTCAGTTAATTTCATTTCTAGTAAATGAATCATTTACTACTGCCAACTATTCAAAATCCTTTCTGCATTTCCAAGATGAAGCCAGAGATATCACTGCACTAGCTATGATTGCAGCCATTACAGCTGTAGAAAAAGTTTTCCCTGTCATCAGCCCTGTAGGATTGGTCATTCTTTTGGTTGCAGATGGACAGTAAAAGGTGACAGCTAAACTCAGTTCTAATCCTTTTCAAAATTAAAGCCATGAGAATGCCCTACATCCCAGATTTCTGTGCCCAAGAGTAGGAGAAGGCAACAGTCTGAAGAATAAATCTAATGAATTAAGGTTTGCTTAATCAGACAAACAGAACACTAGTTTTCAGAAGATTAACTATGCCTCATACTTGGAGGGGTAATAAGAAGCTGATCCTAAGGAAATGAGATCACCACACAAGAGGCAGTTTTAAATTGGTATTATTTTAAGTTTCTATTTTCCTTAGGAAATACTACTTTTTCTTTTTTTTTAGCTTTGGCAGAAACGCTCTCCTTGTCCCTCAGAGTATATGTGGCAATTCTTAGTTGAAAGGCAGAAGAGAGTGGGGGAACCCGTCCAACTATCCTTATATTTAAACATGGCCCACTTAGTTGTGGTAACCTTATACTTATAGATGGAAATTATTGGAGAGGAGGGTCAAAATGCTGAACAGGACTGAAAGAAAGTCTCTCATGCACTAATGTCTAGGGCAGGTGATAGAGAGCAGCAGCTCTGAAGGAGTAGAGGAAGAAGAGTGGATTTTGGAGGTAGCCCAAAAGAAGGAAGTGAGGAGGTGACAAGCAATGAGAAGGAAAAGTAGAACTGGACTGCAGCTCCTGAGATGAGCCTGGGAGGAGAGAGGTACAGCTACATACAGAGGATGAAATGGTACAGGTGTGGAGTGCTGCAAAGGTGAAGAATTAAAGATCACAGATGTAAACTCTGGTGAGAAAGGAAAAATCAGGTTGTATTTGTCTCCAGCACATACAGATACATAAATAATCACATATGCAGGAGATAGCTGAAGTAAAGAAATGAAGGTGGCTGCCACACACAGGGCCAGATGGCAATTAAGTCTCCCTGCTGGCAGGTCTCAGCAGGGAGCACAAAAAGCTCGGTGAGCTTGCTGGGCACTGCCAGTAATAAAGGACTTGTGTAAGGCTTGCTTGGGCCTGGTGAAGGGAAGAATAAAACACCTCAGTACAACCCCAGGCAACTGGGGAAGTGTCAGCTTCAGAGTCATGTACTCTGTTCCAGTTCTGGGGTCATGCACCTCGGGGCTGTGCAGAGCTGGTGCTCCAGCAGGGCTGCCTCTGCTCAGCCTCCCCTCTTCTGACCTGGCCAATTACTTCAAAATACTCCTGCTCTCTTTCATGGCAATGATCACAGCCCATCCTATAAAGCTTTTCACTTCCACACATTTTCATGAGGCTGAAGATTAGCAGCTAGCTGCATTTCACAGGTGGGGAACGTGAGATATTCTTGATCTGGAGTCTTTTCAGTTTATAAGTGTTGCAATCTATGTAGGGCGGGAAATCGCTTTTGCCTTGTTTGGGGTGCTGAGCAGACGGGCCTGTGACCTCCAGTTGAGTATTAAAGCAATGTATGTGACTGCTGTCTGATTTGACTGAAAATAGTCAGTGACAGGAGAGCTGGGAAGAGTATCCAAGTGCTTGGGCTGTCACTCTGGAGCTTGCTGGCTCACGCTGCTTGCCCTAGCAATGATCCCCTAGAGCAGGGGTATTGCTGTGGAGCCATGTTGTTTATGTCGAGCTCACTTACTGCCAGATTACATCACTTTTCAGTAAAATAACTCTGCCAGCAGAAGAATCAGAAGTGAGTACCTTAGCAATTCACTACACTTAGAGCTGTAGTGCTCAGATTTCTGCTGCTGGCATAAATGATGCTTCAGGCAAAGCAATAAAACTTCCCCTGCCCTCAGTAACGCTGAATAGAAGGAGTTGAGATGGGCATTACTTCCTTCTTACCTTAGAAAAGTTGGGTGTACCCTGTGACCTGTTAGCTTTATTTAGACATGCTTAACTCCAATACTAATACTGAGCCAAAAATAGCCCAACAGACTGAAAAAAATAATCCAAATGCTAGGTTTTGATTCAAAATAACACTGAGGTTGAGACTGTCTGAAACACATTACTTTCTGACTAAATTAACTAGCTAATTCCAATATTCATATTAAAATGGCCATTTCCAGTGCTTATCCTCAAATGCATTTTGAAGTAGCCAAGACTAGGATCGATGCAGTAGTTAATAGGAGTGATTTTCACAGCCCTCCACTGAGACTAATCCAGGCTCTTCCCCGAACACTTACTGCTTGTGAAATACAAGAACTTGCAGGCTTAGAAGGAAAGAATCTCCAACAAACTGCTTTTTGGATTCCCACTGTGTTTTTCAAAGACATGACCATTACCTAAGGGAATTGACGTAATGTCCCAGCAAAGGAAGAATAGACTCATGTCTCTTTTTGCCTTTCCTTACACCCTCACTTCCAAGTCAGCTGTTTTGTACATGGTATAAATTAGGGTAGAACTTGGCATAGGGCTTTCATTCACTCACGTTTAAACCTTCTGCCTTAGAAGTTATTCTTGGAGAAGAAACATGACTATCTGTCAAACACATTTGCAGTGCAACTCCACTGAAGACAATGAACTTATATCAGAAATTAACTTGTCATATAAACTGAGATTATCAACCACACAATTAATCAATTTCTTTCAAACTTGTGTGGCTGAGGCCCTTATTCAGCTATAAAAATCTCAGTCCATATCTTTTGGAACTTTTTTGTATGTGTGCGATATTTTGCGTCTTGCTTTAGTTCTTTGTTTGGATTTAGTAACATAAATGCTCTAGCTAAATTTACAATCTGTCTGAATACATGTCTTCACGAATTTGGTGTTGTTCCAGCTAATGCAAGCTGAGTTTTTTGGGGAAGAAGAGAAACAAGGTTCTATTTGAAAATCATCCCCCTTCCCAAAAAGCTACAGAGTTATTATAAGAAAAATAACAGTTCAGCAGTGAAATAACTGTATGATGACTCTTATGCCATGAGAATTTTCAACTGTAAAAAAGTCTAAAGGTAGTCTCATTATTTAAGTTATGAACAAATCCATTCCTGGTGCCATGATGATATGTCATCAGTAAACCATACTTGGCAGGAGACACCAGAGTGGTTAAAACCAAAGGTTATAATGATCAAAAGGCACTTTCACAAATGAAGCATTTAGTTTTTTTAAAGTGTGTATTTTTGTTAGAGTTCATCCCCCATTACCCTTCTCAGAGGCCTTTCATATATTGGAATTTCAGTCCCCTTGGAGCATCATGTGGTAAGTTCCAGTCTGCAGGATGGCAGTGCCACTGGCTTCTGGCATGCAATGCACTGCCTCCTTATGCAGCTCTGTGTCCCGTTTTGGGAAGTAATGGTTTGTTTTAAAAATAAAACCCTGAGAATTTAATTTGCTCCTGAAAGTGCAGGTCACTTGAGGGCATCTCTGTGTGTGTGCATGTGTGTGTGTGTGTAAAACATGAACTTATAATACGGAATCCTTTTCCGATCCTGATAAATGATGGATATAAACACGTGGTCATTACTTCTGGCTCTGCATCTGTGGGCCTGGGTTTGCCTCAGCTTTGACAGTATCTCTGGGAATTGAGTGATGTGGGTATATGAGAGGTGAGCAAGACATCAACAGGAGGATTTCTCTGCGTTCGCTTCCTCTCTTGGACCTCACTGTGGTCACTTCTGACGTTCAGATCTAATGTAGTAAAGCAGAAGTTTACTACAGTAAATTTAATGGAGCAAAATGAGATCAGTGAGGAAAAAGGAAAGGAAGAACTGTGCCAAGTATAAAATGTTCTGGTTTATACTGTCTTGCTGTCTCAAACTCTTCGTATTTTATGCAGCTTGTAGTCACTGTCTTAAGCAGTGAACTGTTCAGAAAAATTACTGCTTATGCTTTTGTTTTTCTCTGTAGGGGTACAAGGAGGTCCTCCACTAACTGACGATATAAATACAAAGACTATATATACTTTAGTATATAAAGATCAATTAAATATAAATGAC